TCTCTTGTTTTTATACTGTCTCTCTCTTGTTTTTCTACTGTGCTCTGTTTTTTTATACTGGGGTCTCTTTGTTTTTCTACTGTGTCTCTCCTGTTTTTCTACTGTGTCTCTCTTGTTTTTCTCTGTTCTTTGTTTTCTACTGTGTCTTCTCTTGTTTTTATACTGTTTCTCTCTTTGTTTTTATACTTGTTTTTCTCTGTGTTTTTTTTTTACTGTGTCTCTCTTGTTTTTCATGTGTCTCTCTTGTTTTATACTGCCTTGTTCTACTCCTCCTGTTTTTCTACTGGGCTCTCTTGTTTTTCTACTGTGTCTCTTTTTTAAAACGGTCTCTCTTGTTTTTTACTGTGTCTCTCTTGTTTTTTTTACTGTGTCTCTCTCTGTTTTTACTGTGTCTCTTTGTTTTTCACTGTGGTCTCTCCTGTTTTTATTCTACTGTCTCTCTTGTTTTCTACTGTTCCCCTCTTGTTTTATACTGTGTCTCTCTTGGTTTTCAACTGTGTCTCTCTGTTTTTATACTGCTCTCTCTGTTTTTATCTGTGTCTCTTTTATATACTGTGTCCCTATTTTTATACTGTGTCTCTCTGTTTTTTCTACTGTGTCTCTCTTGTTTTTCTACTGTGTCTCTCTTGTTTTTCTACGTGTCTCTTTTGTTTTCACTGTGTCTCTCTTGTTTTCTACTGTCTCTCTTGTTTTATACTGTGTCTCTCTTGTTTTTATACTGTGTCTCTTGTTTTTATACTGTGTCTCTCTTGTTTTTCTATGTGTCTCTCTTGTTTTTATACTGTTTTCCTCTTTTTTCTTGTCTCTTGTTTTTCTACTGTCTTCTTTTTTTTACACTGTGTCTCTTCTTGTTTTTCTCTGTGTCTCTCTTGTTTTTCTACTGTGTCTCTCTCTTGTTTTTATACTGTTCTCTCTTGTTTTTCTACTTGTCTCTCCTGTTTTTCTACTGTTCTCTCTTGTTTTTCTACTGTGTCTCTTTGTTTTAAAACTGTGTCTCTCTGTTTTTATACTTGTCTCTCTTGTTTTTCTACTGTGTCTCTCTCTTGTTTTTCACTGTGTCTCTCTGTTTTTCCACTGTGTCTCTCTGTTTTTCTACTGTCTCTCTCTTGTTTTTCTACTGTGTCTCTTTGTTTTTCTACGTGTCCCCTTCTTGTTTTTTACTGTGTCTCTCTTGTTTTTTTACTGTCTCTCCTGTTTTTTCTACTTCTTGTTTTTCTACTGTGTCTCTCTTGTTTTTATACTGTGTCTCTCTCTTGTTTTTATACTGTGTCTCTCTTGTTTTTCTACTGTGTCCTCTCCTGTTTTTCTACTGTGTCTCTCTTGTTTTTATACTGTGGTCTCTTGTTTTTCTACTGTGTCATCTCCTGTTTTTATACTGTCTCTCTTGTTTTTCTACTGTGCTCTCTGTTTTTCTACTGTGTCTCTCTTGTTTTTATAACTGTGTCTCTCTTGTTTTCTACTGTGTCTCTCTTGTTTTTCTAACTGTGTCTACTCTCTGTTTTTATACTGTGTCTCTCTTGTTTTTCCACTGTGTCTCTCCTGTTTTTCTACTGTGTCTCTCTTGTTTTTTCTACTGTGTCTCTCTTGTTTTCTACTGTGTCTCTCTTGTTTTTCTACTGTGTCTCTCTGTTTTTATACGTGTCTCTCTGGTTTGATACTGTCTCTCTCTTGTTTTTCTACTGTGTCTCTCCTGTTTTTATACTGTGTCTCTCTTGTTTTTCATACTGTGTCTCTCTTGTTTTTCTACTGTGTCTCTCTTGTTTTTCTACTGTGTCTCTCTTGTTTTTCTCTTGTTTTTCTACTGTGTCTCTCTCTTGTTTTTATACTGTGTCTCTCTTGTTTTTCTACTGTGTCTCTCCTGTTTTTCTACTGTGTCTCTCTTGTTTTTCTACTGTGTCTCTCTTGTTTTTCTACTGTGTCTCTCTCTTGTTTTTATACTGTCTCTCTTGTTTTTCTACTGTGTCTCTCCTGTTTTTCTACTGTCTCTCTTGTTTTTCTACTGTGTCTCTATTGTTTTAAAACTGTGTCTCTCTTGTTTTTATACTGTGTCTCTCTTGTTTTTCTACTGTGTCTCTCTCTTGTTTTTATACTGTGTCTCTCTTGTTTTTCCACTGTGTCTCTCCTGTTTTTCTACTGTCTCTCTTGTTTTTCTACTGTGTCTCTCTTGTTTTTTATACTGTGTCTCTCTTGTTTTTATACTGTGTCTCTCTGGTTTTTATACTGTCTCTCTCTTGTTTTTATACTGTGTCTCTCTTGTTTTTATACTGTGTCTCTCTTATTTTTATACTGTGTCTCTCCTGTTTTTCTACTGTGTCTCTCTTGTTTTTCTACTGTGTCTCTCTTGTTTTTCTACTGTGTCTCTTTTGTTTTTCAACTGTGTCTCTCTTGTTTTTCTACTGTCTCTCTTGTTTTTATACTGTGTCTCTCTTGTTTTTATACTGTGTCTCTCTTGTTTTTATACTGTGTCTCTCTTGTTTTTCTATTGTGTCTCTCTTGTTTTTATACTGTGTCGCTCTTGTTTTTCTACTGTGTCTCTCTTGTTTTTCTACTGTCTCTCTTGTTTTTACACTGTATCTCTCTTGTTTTTATACTGTGTCTCTCTTGTTTTTATACTGTGTCTCTGTTGTTTTTCTACTGTGTCTCTCTTGTTTTTCTACTGTCTCTCTTGTTTTATACTGTATCTCTCTTGTTTTTATACTGTGTCTCTCTTGTTTTTATACTGTGTCTCTCTTGTTTTTATACTGTGTCTCTCTTGTTTTTATACTGTGTCTCTCTCTTGTTTTTATACTGTGTCTCTCTTGTTTTTCTACTGTGTCTCTGTTGTTTTTCTACTGTGTCTCTCTTGTTTTCTACTGTGTCTCTTTACTGTGATGTTATCTAACTGTAATGAATTGTTCATAGTAATAAATAATGGTGCTTAGTTGTGGCCCATCAATATGTGGTCCATGGACTGTGATGTGGTGACATTAACTTATATTTTGTTCGCTTTTAGCCCTCTCCAAATGAAACACCCCATCATAAACGCAATGGGATTTATCTAAACAACATGCCATTTATGCATTTTCCTTACCTGTTTGAAAGACAGTAAACCAAACAGCTGATTTATACCAACCCAGCCTTTTCTAGCAAAGAGAATGCTGAGTCAGACAATACTTTATACCAGCTAGTCATACTAGAAACAACTACTAACTATATTTTACTGTTGGCATTTCTCTCCCAGGCCGACAAAGACCCAGCCTCCAACCACTAGTGTAAAGACGTGTTATATCAGTATCCTCCAAATATACTTTAACATTGAGCTTTATTTCCCCATGCAGGCCTGTCCACTTCCACCCAGACTTCTCAGTATCAATCTTTTGAAATATATACACTACCAGTCAAAGGTGTGGACGCACCTACTGATTCCAGGGTTTTTCTTTATTTTTTACTATTTTCTACATTGTAGAATAATAGTGAAGACATCAAAACTATGAAATAACACATATGGAATCATGTAGCAACCAAAAAAGTGTTAAACAAATCAAAATATATTGTATATTTGAGATTCTTCAAATAGCCACCCTTTGCCTTGATGACAGCGTTGCACACTCTTGGCATTCTCTCAACCAGCTTCATGAGGTAGTCACCTGGAATGCATTTCAATTAACAGGTGTGCCTTGTTAAAAGTTAGTTTGTGGAATTTCTTCCCTCCTTTAATGCATTTGAGCCAATCAGTTGTGTTGTGACAAGGTAGGGGGGGGGGGGGGGGGTATACGGAATATAGCCCTATTTGGTAAAAGACCAAGTCCATATTATGGCAAGAACAGCTCAAATAAGCAAATAGAAACGACAGTCCATCATTACTTTAAGACATGAAGGTCAGTAAATCCGGAACATTTCAAGAACTTTGAAAGTTTCTTCAAGTGCAGTCGCAAAAACCATCAAGCGCTATTATGAAACTGGCTCTCATGAGGACTGCCACAGGAAAGGAAGACCCAGAGTTACCTCTGCTGCACAGGATAAGTTCATTAGAGTTAACTGCACCTCAGATTGCAGCCCAAATAAATGCTTCATAGAGTTCAAGTAACAGACACATCTCAACATCTACTGTTCAGAGGAGACTGCTTGCATCAGGCCTTCATAGTCGAATTGCTGCAACGAAACCACTACTAAAAGACACCAATAAGAAGAAGAGACTTGCTGGGGCCAAGAAACACGAGCAATGGACATTAGACCGGTGGATATCTGTCCTTTGGTCTGATGAGTCGAAATTTGAGATTTTTGGTTCCAACCGCCGTGTCTTTGTGAGACGCAGAGTAGGTGAACGGATGATCTCCGCATGTGTGGTTCCCACCGTGAAGCATGGAGGAGGAGGTGTGATGGTGTGGGGGTGCTTTGCTGGTGACACTGTCTGTGATTTATTTAGAATTCAAGGCACACTTAACCAGCATTGGTACCACAGCATTTTGCAGCGATACGCAATCCCATTTGTTTTTCAACAGGACAATGACCCAAAACACACCTCCAGGCTGTGTAAGAGCTATTTGACTGATGAGAGTGATGGAGTGCTGCATCAGATGACCTGGCCTCCACAATCACCCGACCTCAACCCAATTGAGATGGTTTGGGATGAGTTGGACGGCAGATTGAAGGAAAAGCAGCCAACATGTGCTCAGCATATGTGGGAACTCCTTCAAGACTGTTTGAAAAGCATTCCTCATGAAGCTGGTTGAGAGAATGCCAAGAGTGTTCAAAGCTGTCATCAAGGCAAAGGTGGCTACTTTGAAGAATCTCAAATATAAAATATATTTTAACACTTTTTTCGTTACTAAATGATTCCATATGTGTTATTTCATAGTTTTGATGTCTTCACTATTATTCTACAATGTAGAAAATTGTAAAAATAAAGAACAACCCTTGAATGAGTAGGTGTGTCCAAACTTTTGACTGGTACTGTGTATATATATATATATATATTATAAAATATATGTGAAATATACATGTATTTTCCCTATGCAGACCTGCCCACCTCCACCTTGCCCTCTGTGGAAGTGACCCCCCAAGAAGCCTCAGAGCTTCCCCAGGAACCAGAGCTCCTGGCTGGGGAGGAGGAGCAGGAAGAGGTGCTCCCGGAGGTGGCTCCCCCCAGCCTGAAGGAGGTGGAGGACGCCGTGCAGGAGGCCTCGGAGCTGGCCTCGGAGCCGGGGGTCGAGGAGGTGCTGAAGGAGCTGTTAGAGAGGGTGGTGGAGGCCGCCATGGGGGAGGTGCAGAGGGAGGCTCAAGGGGAGGTGAAGGAGGAGGTGGCTGAAGTAGAGGATGGAGTGGAGGAGGAGTTAGGAGGAGGAGGAGGAGAGCAGGAGGTAGAGGAGGAGGGAGAGGTGGAGGAGCAAGGAGAACAGGAGGAGGCTGTGACTGAAGTGGTGGAAGAGGAGGTAGAGGTTGGAGGAGAAGGGGAGGCCATTGAAGATGGGTCTGTAGAGGAGAGCATAGCAGAGGAGGTGGAAGATCAACTAGTGGAAGCCCCTGTTGCTCCCCTCACTAAGGGAGAGGTTGTGGAGGAAACTACCCTCCCAGAAGAGGAGGAGGAGGGAGGAGGAAAGGTAGTCGGAGAGGAGACGGAGGGAGAGGAGGAGGAGGGAGGAGGAAAGGTAGTCGTAGAGGAGACGGAGGGAGAGGAGGAGGAGGGAGGAGGAAAGGTAGTCGTAGAGGAGACGGAGGGAGAGGAGGGGGAGGAGGTGGTGCAGACAGAGCAGGAGACTGTGACTGAGGAGGCTGGAGGAGAGAAGGAGGGAGAGGGGGAGGGATTAGGAGAGGAGGTGGGGGTGGGGGTGGAAGACTATGAGGAGATGAAGACTACTCAGTCGGTAGTGGGGGAGCCAGTCAAAGAGGAGGGAGGGGAGGAGGAGGAGGGAGGGATGGAGGAGGTGGTGGAGGTGGGAGGAGAGGGGGAGGAGGGAAGGATGGAGGAGGTGGTGGAGGTGGGAGGAGAGGGGGAGGAGGGAAGGATGGAGGAGGTGGTGGTGGTGGGAGGAGAGGGGGAGGAGGGAAGGATGGAGGAGGTGGTGGAGGTGGGAGGAGAGAGGGAGGAGGGAAGGATGGAGGAGGTGGTGGAGGTGGGAGGAGAGGGGGAGGAGGGAAGGATGGAGGAAGGTGTGGTGGTTGTGGAGGAGGAGGAGGCTGGAGCTGAGGTAGTGATTGGGGAGGCAGGGGGTGAGGAGGAAGGGGATGGAGAGAGTGTGGGAGAGGAGGGGGGAGATGAGGGGGTGGTGGTAGGTGCTGCAGACCAGCTGGGAGGTGAAGCAGGAGGAAGAGAAGGAGGAGAGGAGACACCAGAAACGGAGGACCAAGGTAAACTATAGTGGAATTAAACCACCAGGGTCATGTTCAGTAGCCAAACATTGGGGAACGTTGCAGCTAGAAATGTCACGAGGAGAATAGAGCCGACGTGATCGCTTATTCTACATGTCAGAGAGGCATGTTTGTTCTGAATGTTGGTCAACATGGTGTCCTAATGAATGTGGCCCTGAAGGCTTAATGTCCCAGTAAAGTACTCTTGGTGCAGTGGTCAAAACAACCCTGATCCTGGAGAGCTACAGAGTATATGCAGGCTTTTGTTCCAACCCAGCACTTACATACCTGGGCCATGCTCAGTAGGGAGATAGCGTTGTGGAACTGAGTGAAACAGGAAGCTACTACTGAGTGAAACAGGAAGCTACTACTGAGTGAAACAGGAAGCTACTACCTGAACATGTACAATAACAACACAGGTTTTTATTTAACGATTACAAGCATATCCATAACATAATGCAGCCACCACTATGCTTGACAATATGGAGAGTGGTACTCAGTAATGTGTTGTATAGGATTTGCCCCAAACATAACACTTTGTATTCAGGACGAAAAGTTAATTGCTTTGCAAAATGTTTTGCATTATTACTTTAGTGCCTTGTTGCAAACAGGATGCATGTTTTCGATTATTTTTATTCTGTACTAACTTCCTTCTTTTCACTCTGTCAATTAGGTTAGTATTGTGGAGTAACTACAATGTTATTGATCCATCGTCAGTTTTCTATCACAGCCATTAAACTCTGTAACTGTTTTAAAATGACCATTGGCCTCATGGTGAAATCCCTGAGTGGTTTCCTTCCACTTCGGCGACGGAGTGAGGAAGGACGCCTGTATCTTTGTAGTGACTGGGTGTATTGATACACCATCCAAAGTGTAATTAATAACTTCACCATGCTCAAAGGGATATTCAATGTCTGTTTAAAAAAACAACAACATTGATTTACCAATAGTGCCCTTCTTTGCGAGGCATTGGAAAACCTTCCTGGTCTTTGAGGTTGAATCTGTGTTTGAAAATCACTGGTCAACTGAGGGACCTTACAGATAATTGTATGTGTGGGGTACAGAGATGAGGTAGTCATTCAAAAATCATGTTCAACACTACTATTGCACACAGAGTGAGTCCATGCAACTTATTATGTGACTTGTCAAGCACATTTTTACTCCAGAATGTATTTAGGCTTGCCATAACAAAGGGGTTGAATACTTATTGACTCAAGACATTTCAGCTTTTCATGTTTTATTCATTCATAAGAATTTCTAAAAACATAAATCCACTTTGATATTATGGGGTTATTGTGACCAAAACATCAAAATGTAATCCATTTTAAATTCAGGCTGTAACACAACAAAAAATGTGGAAAAAGTCAAGAGGTGTGAATAGTTGCTGAAGGCACTGTATGTGCTGACTGAGATTACTCCACACACATATACACACACACACACACACACACACACACACACCACACACACCACACACACACATCTATACGTTAGCCCCATACATTCCATAGGTCCACTCTATAGCCCCCTACCCCGAGCCTTGGGCCTTCTCAGTCTCATTTACACATGTGTGCCAAATGTCTGACCCCTCCTCTAGAAGTGCTGCTGGACCCAGGTGAGAGCTCCCTGAGATCCATACCAGGAGAGTCTCAGGACCCCGCTAGCCCACTCGGCCCCCACCGTCCTTGGGGAGAGACGGAGAGCAACACCATGGGAGGGGAGGAGATCCTGGAGGATGTGGATCTGGAGTCGAACGACGCCAACAAGATCATCACGTTTCAGGACAACGTTTTAAACCTTGACCCTGATGAGGCCACGTCCACTCTGGATAACTTTGTGGAGGACATTCTTGCAACAGCCGAGGAGAAGGAGCAAGGAGAGACCAATGAGGTGGTGGAGGCCACTACAGATACTGACAAAACAGGTAACTTTATCCTGTATTATAACTACTGACAACACAGGTAACTTTATCCTGTATTATTACTACTGACAACACAGGTAACTTTATCCTGTAGTATAACTACTGACAACAGGTAACTTTATCCTGTATTATAACTACTGACAACAGGTAACTTTATCCTGTATTATAACTACTGACAACACAGGTAACTTTATCCTGTATTATAACTACTGACAACAGGTAACTTTATCCTGTATTATAACTACTGACAACAGGTAACTTTATCCTGTATTATAAATACTGACAACACAGGTAACTTTTCCTGTTTATAACATAAAACAGGTAACTTTTCCTGTATTACTACGACAAACAGGTAACTTATCCGTATTAAACTAGACAACAGGTACTTTATGTATTATAATATGAAACAGGTAATTTATCCTGTATATAACTACACAACACAGGTAACTTATCCTGTATATAATACGACACAGGTACTTACTGTTAAAATAAAAGGTAACTTTCCTGTATATAACTATAAAACAGACTTATCTTTTATAATTACAAAACAGTAATTTATCCTGTATTATAACTACTGCAACAGTACTTCTGTATTAAATACTAAAACAGGAACTTTACTGTATTAATATAAACAAGGTAACTTACCTGTATAAATAGAAACACAGGAACTTTCTGATTATAATTTAAACAGTAACTTATCTGTATATAATACTACAAACAGGTAAATATCCGTATATAACTATGAAAAAGTCACTTATCTTATAAACTACTACAACACAGGTAACTTTATCGTTTGTAACTATACTAACAACACAGGTAACTTTATCCTGTATTATAAATACTACAACCCAGGTAACTTTATCTATATAACTCTGAAACACAGGTAACTTATCTGTATTTAACACTGACAACAGGAACTTTTCCTGTATTAAACATGACAACAGGTAATTATCCTGGATTATAACTACTGACAACACAGGTAACTTTATCCTTATTAAACTACTAAAGTAATTTACCTGTATATAACTATACAACCGGATAACTTATCCATTTTAAACACTGACAACAGGTAATGATCTGTATATAACTACTGACAACAGGTAACTTTTCCGTATATAACTACGACAAACAGGTAACTTATCGTATTATACTACTGAAACAAGGTACTTTATCCTGTATTATAACTACTGACAACACAGGTAACTTTATCCTGTATTATAACTACAACAACAGGAATTTATCTGTATTATAACTACTGACAACAGGTAACTTTATCCTGTATTATAACTAACTGACAACCAGGTAACTTTCCTGTATTATAACTATGACAACAGGTAACTTATCCTGTATTATAACTACTAACAACACAGGGTAACTTATCCTGTAGTATAACTCTGACAACACAGGTACTTTATCCTGTATTTAACTACTAAAACAGGTAACTTTTTATCCTGTATATAGCTACTGACAACAGGTACTTTATCCTGTATTATAAATACTTGAATCACAGTAACTTTATCCTGTATTATAACTATAACAAACAGGTAACTTATCCTGTATTATAACTACTAACACGAGGTACTTTATCCTGTATTATAACTACTGACAACACATGTAACTTTATCCTGTATTATAACTACTTACAAACAGGTAACTTTATCTGTATTATAATACTATGACAAACAGGTAACTTTATCCTGTATTATAACTACTGACAACAGGTAACTTTATCCTGTATTATAACTACTGACAACAGGTAACTTTATCCTGTATTATAACTACTGACAACCAGGTAACTTTATCCTGTATTATAACTACTGACAACAGGTAACTTTATCCTGTATTATAAATACTGACAACACAGGTAACTATATCCTGTATTATAACTATTAAAAACAGGTAACTTTATCCTGTATTATAATTACTAACAACACAGGTAACTTTATCCTGTATTATAACTACTGACAACAGATAACTTTATCCTGTATTATAACTACTAAAAACAGGTAACTTTATCCTGTATTATAACTACTAACAAACACGGTACTTTATCCTGTATTATAACTACTGACAACACAGGTAACTTTATCCTGTATTATACAACTACTGACAACAGGTAACTTTATCCTGTATTATAACTACTGAACAACAGGTAACTTTATCCTGTATTAAACTACTGACAACACAGTAACTTTATCCTGTATTATAACTACTGACAACACAGGTAACTTTATCCTGTATTGTAACTACTAACAACACAGGTAACTTTATCCGGTATTATAAATACTAACAACAGGTAACTTTATCCAGTATCATAACTACTGACAACACAGGTAACTTTATCCTGTATTATAACTACTGACAACAGGTAACTTTATCCTGTATTATAACTACTGACAACAGGTAACTTTATCCTGTATTATAACTACTGACAACACAGGTAACTTTATCCTGTATTATAACTACTGACAACAGATAACTTTATCCTGTATTATAACTACTGACAAACAGGAAACGTTATCCTGTATTATAACTACTGACAACAGGTAACTTTATCCTGTATTATAACTACTGACAACAGGTAACTTTATCCTGTATTATAACTACTGACAACACAGGTAACTTTATCCTGTATTATAACTACTGACAACAGGTACATTTATCCTGTATTAACTACTGACAACAGGTACTTTATCCTGTATTATAACTACTGACAACAGGTAACTTATCCTGTATTATAACTACTGACAACAGGTAACTTTATCCTGTATTATAACTACGAACAGTCTTTAATCCTGTATATAACTACTGACAAAGGTAACTTTATCCTGTATTATAACTACTGAACCAACAGGTAACTTTATCCTGTATTATAACTACTGACAAACAGGTAACTTTATCCTGTATTATAACTACTGACAACAGGTAACTTTATCCTGTATTATAACTACTGACAACAGGTAACTTTATCCTGTATTATAACTACTGACAACACAGGTAACTTTATCCTGTATTATAACTACTAACAACAGGTAACTTTATCCTGTATTATAACTACTGACAACACAGGTAACTATATCCTGTATTATAACTACTGACAAACAGGTAACTTTATCCTGTATTATAACTACTAACAACACAGGTAACTTTATCCTGTATTATAACTACTGACAACACAGGTAACTTTATCCTGTATTATAACTACTGACAACAGGTAACTTTATCCTGTATTATAACTACTGACAACACAGGTAACTTTATCTTATATTATAACTACTGACAACAGGTAACTTTATCCTGTATGATAACTACTGACAACAGGTAACTTTATCGTGTATTATAACTACTAAAAACAGGTAACTTTATCCTGTATTATAACTACTAACAACACAGGTAACTTTATCCTATATTATAACTACTGACACCAGAAAATTTATCCTGTATTATAACTACTGACAACAGGTAACTTTATCCTGTATTATAACTACTGACAACACAGGTCACTTTATCCTGTATTATAACTACTGACAACAGGTACCTTTATCCTGTATTATAACTACTAACAACACAGGTAACTTTATCCTGTATTTTAAATACTAAAAACAGGTAACTTTATCCAGTATTATAACTACTGACAACACAGGAAACTTTATCCTGTATTATAAATACTGACAACACAGGTAACTTTATCCTGTATTATAACTACTGACAACACAGGTAACTTTATCCTGTATTATAACTACTGACAACAGGTACATTTATCCTGTATTATAACTACTGACAACAGGTAACTTTATCCTGTATTATAACTACTGACAACACAGGAAACGTTATCCTGTATTATAACTACTGACAACAGTTACTTTATCCTGTATTATAACTACTGACAACAGGTAACTTTATCCTGTATTATAACTACTGACAACAGGTAACTTTATCCTGTATTATAACTACTGACAACAGGTAACTTTATCCTGTATTATAACTACTGACAACACAGGTAACTTTATCCTGTATTATAACTACTGACAACAGGTAACTTTATCCTGTATTATAACTACTGACAACAGGTAGCTTTATCCTGTATTATAACTACTGACAACAGGTAACTTTATCCTGTATTATAACTACTGACAACAGGTAACTTTTCCTTAGTATTAAGCTACTACAGACAACACAGGTCACTTTATCCTGTATTATAAACTACTGACAACAGGTAACTTATACCTGTATTATAACTACTGACAAACAGGGTACTTTATCCTGTATTATAACTAATCTGACAACAGGTAACTTATACCTGTATTATAAACTACTACAACACAGGTAACTTTATCCTGTATTATCATACTAACAACAGGTAACTTTATCCTGTATTATAACTACTGACAAACAGGTGTAACTTTATCCTGTATTATAACTACTGAACAAACAGGTAACTTTATCCTGTATTAGAAGCTACTATACAACACAGGTAACTTTATTCCTTTATAAACTACTGACAACAGGTAACTGTACCTGTATTATAACTACTGACAACACAGGTAAACTGTTATCCTGTATTATAACTACTGACAACAGGTAACTTTATCCTGTATTATAACCACTACAACACAGGAATGACTTATCCTGTTTCAACTACGACAACAAGGTACCATTACACGTATTAAACTATGCTCCAGGGGTGTACTGTACATCAGATGTTCACTACAGAAACAGGTAGTAGACTAGTTAGTACCTGTCCAAGGGGTAATTACTGTGTACTCAAGCTGTCTCACTACAGAAACAGGAGAAGACTAGTGTACCTGCCAGGGGCTGTACTGTACTCAAGCTGTTAAACTACAGAAACAGGAATAGACAGTGTCCGTCAAGGGGGTTGTACTGGTACATTAACTGTGTCTCACTACAAGAACAAGGAGATAGACTAGTTGTCTGTCCAGGGGGTGTACTGTTACATCAAGCTGTCTCACTACAGAAACAGGAGATAGACTAGTGTCCTGTCCAGGGGGTGTACTGTACATCAGCAGCTGTCTCACTACATGAAACAGGTGATAGACTAGTGTCCTGCAGGGGGTCTTACTATTACTCTACAATCAAGCTGTCTTCATCCTGTAAATAAAAAAAAGACATAGACTAGTGTCCTGTCCAGGGGGTTGTACTGTACTATCAAGCTTGTCTCACACTACGAAACAGGAGATAGACTAGTAGTCCTGTCCAGGGAGGTGTTTACTGTAATAAGCTCACTGCAAGCAGATACTAGTAAGACAAACAGGAGGAATAGATAGACTAGTGTCCTGTCCAGGGGGTGTACTGTACATCAAGCTGTCTCACTACAGAAACAGGAGATAGACTAGTGTCCTGTCCAGGGGGTGGTAATGTACATCAAGCAGTCTCACTACAAGAAAAACAGGAGATAGACTAGTGTCCGGGCCAGGGGTGTACTGTAATCAAGCTGTCTCACTACAGAAACAGGAGATAGACTAGTGTCCTGTCCAGGGGGTTGTACCTGTACATCAAGCTGTCCTCACTACAGAAACAGGTGATTAGACTAGTGTCCTGTCCAGGGGGTGTACTGTATCAAGCTGTCTCACTACAGAAACAGGAGATAGACTAGTGTCCTGTCCAGGGGGGTAACTGTACATCAAGACTGTCCACTACAGAAAACAGGGATAGACTAGTGTCTGTCCAGGGGTGTACTGTACATCAAGCTGTCTCACTACAGAAAACAAGGAATAGCTAGTGTCCTGTCCAGGGGGGTGTTGTAATACTGTACATCAAGATGCTTCACTACAGAAACAGGAGATAGACTAGTGTCCTGTCCAGGGGGTTGTAATGTACATCAAGCTGTCTCACTACAGAAACAACAGGAGATAGACTAGTGTCCTGTCCAGGGGGTGTACTGTACATCAAGCTTCTACTAACAGAAACAGGAGATAGACTAGTGTCTGTCAGGGGGTGTACATGTACATCAAGCGTCTCACTACAGAAACAGGAGATAGACTAGGATGTACCTGTCCAGGGGGGTATGTATGTACATCAAGCTGTCTCACATACAGGAAACAGGAGATAGAACAGTGCCTGTCCAGGGGTTGTACTGTACATCAAGCTGTCTCACTACAGAAACAGGAGATAGACTAGTGTCCTGTCCAGGGGGTTTGTACTGTACATCAAGCTGTGCTCACTAACAGAAACAGGAGATAGACTAGTGTCCTGTCCAGGGGGATGTACTGTACATCAAGCTGTCACTACTACGAAACAGGAGATAGACTATGTCCTGTCCAGGGGGTTGTACTGTACATCAAGCGTCTCACTACCAGAACAGGAGATGACTAGTGTCCTGTCCAGGGGTGGTACTGGTACATCAAGCTTGTCTCACTACAGAAACGAGAGATAGGACTAGTGTCCTGTCCAGGGGTTGTTGACTGTAACATCAAGTAGTCTCACTACAGAAACGGATATAGACTAGTGTCCTGTCCAGGGGTGTACTGTACATCAGCTGTCTCACTACAGAAAAGGAGATAGACATAGTGGTCCGCCCAGGGGTGCTATGTAATTACAAAGACTGTCTCAACTACAGGAAACAGGAGATAGACTAGTGTCCTGTCCAGGGGGTGTACTGCACATCAAAGCTGTCTCACTACAGAAACAGGAGATAGACTAGTGTCCTGTCCAGGGGTGACTGACATCAATGTCTCCTAAGAAACAGGGATGACTATTGTTGTCCAGGGGGTGTATGTCATCAAGCTGTCTCAACTAGAAAACAGGAGATAGACTAGTGTCTGTCCAGGGGGTTTGTACTGTACATCAAGCTGTCTCACTACAGAAACAGGAGATAGACTAGTGTCCTGTCCAGGGGGGAGTACATCAAGCATGTTATGGTACTTGTTGTAGGGTGTATGTACATCAAAGCTGTCATACATACAGAAACAGGAGATAGATAGTGTCGTCAGGGGGGTATCTGTTCATCAGGGAGTATTCTGTAGTGTACTGTATATCAAGCTGTCTCACTACAGAAACAGGGGATAGACTAGTGTCCTGTCCAGGGGGTGTACTGTAATCAAGCTGTCTCACTACAGGAAACAGGAGATAGACTAGTGTCCTGTCCAGGGGGGTGTACTGTACATCAAGCTGTCTCACTACAGAAACAGGAGATAAAGTTAGACTAAGTGTCTCCTTACCAGGGGAGTTTGTACTGTACATTCAAAGCTGTCACTACAGAACAGGAGATAGACTAGTGTCCTGTCCAGGGGGTGTACTGTACATCAAGCTTTCACTACAGAAACAGGAGATTGCTAGTGTCCTGTCCAGGGGGTGTATGTATCACTGTTCACTACAGAAACGAGATAGACTAGGTCCTTCCAGGGGTGTCTGTACTCAAGTGTCTACACGAAACAGGATGCTAGTGTCCTGTCCAGGGGGTGTACTGTACATCAAGCTGTCTCACTACAGAAACAGGAGATAGACTAGTGTCCTGTCCAGGGGGTGTGTACTGTACATCAAGCTGTTCACTACAGAAACAGGAGATAGACTAGTGTCCTGTCCCAGGGGGTGTACTGTACATCAAGCTAGTCTCACTACAGAAACAGAAGGAGCTAGACTAGTGTCCTGTCCCTAGGGGGGTACTGTGCCATCAGTTCATACAGAACAGGAATAGACTAGTGTCCTTCCAGTGGTGTACTGGTACATCAAGCTGTCTCACTACAGAAACAGGAGATAGACTAGTGTCCTGTCCAGGGGGTGTACTGTACATCAAGCTGTCTCACTACAGAAACAGGAGATAGACTAGTGTCCTGTCCAGGGGGTGTATGGTACATCAAGCTGTCTCACTACAGAAACAGGAGATAGACTAGTGTCCTGTCCAGGGGTGTTGTATGTACATCAAGCTGTCTCACTACAGACACAGGAGATAGACATAGTCCTGTCCAGGGGGTGTATACTGTACATCAAGCTGTCTCACACTACGGAAACAGGAGATAGACTAGAGTCCTGTCCAGGGGGTGTACTGTACATCAAGCTGTCTCACACTACGGAAACAGGAGATAGACTAGACTTTTCCTCTTCTCCTCTCATCCCCTGTTCAGAATCAGGTCTGGAAGCCTGGAAGATCGGAGTGATCTCTACTGCTGCGTTTCTGGTCCTGGAGACCATCGTCATCATTGTCTACGTCCTCAAGTGTCGTGACAAAACTAACAGGTGGGTCTGTAGGTACTGTACTAAGTCGGGAACCAAGATGGTAGAGATGAACACTAAACAGGTGGGGTTCTGTAGGTACTGTACTAACGTCTGGAACAAGAGTAGAGATAGAAAACTAACCGGGTGGGTCTGTAGGTACTGTACTAAGTCTGGAACCAAGAGGTAGAGATGAAACTAACAGGTGGTTCGGTCTAGGTACTGTACTAAGTCTGGAACAAGAGGTAGAGATGCCAACTAACAGGTTGGGTTCCTGTAGGTACGGTACTAAGTCTGGAAACAAGAGGTAGAGATTGAAACTAACAGGTGGGTCTGTATGGTCACTGCTACTAAGTCCCGGAGAAACCAAGATGGTAGAGATGAAAACTAAACAGGTGGGTCTGTAGGTACTGTACTAAGTCTGGAACAAGAGGTAGAGATGAAACTACAGTTGGGGTCTGTAGTGTACTGTACTAAAGTCTGAACAAGAGGTAGAGATGAAACTACAGTGTGGGTCTGTAGGTACTGTACTAAGTCTGGAACAAGAGGTAGAGATGAAACTAACAGGTGGGTCTGTAGGTACTGTACTAAGTCTGGAACAAGAGGTAGAGATGAAACTAACAGGTGGGTCTGTAGGTACTGTACTAAGTCTGGAACAAGAGGTAGAGATGAAACTAACAGGTGGGTCTGTAGGTACTTTATTAAGTCTGGAACAAGAGGTAGAGATGAAACTAACAGGTGGGTCTGTAGATACTGTACTAAGTCTGGAACAAGAGGTAGAGATGAAACTAACAGGTGGGTCTGTAGGTACTGTACTAAGTCTGGAACAAGAGGTAGAGATGAAACTAACAGGTGGGTCTGTAGGTACTTTATTAAGTCTGGAACAAGAGGTAGAGATGAAGGACTAGTAAAGAGTAGGAAATACATTTAATGTGCTCCCTTAGAACTATGAAATATACACATTCTGGAACATCTTCTGTGTCGTACTTTAAACGTCTTACCTTTCTTTGAGATTGAAGTTTAAGAGTTAAAATGACGGTTAAGGTTTTTCTGTAAAGTTTCTGGTCAGGACACAGGGTTGATGTCTGAAACGGTGTGTTTCTCTGTGTAGCGGCCCAGTGTCAGACAGGGGCTGTGGGGAGGTGGAGGTGGAGGTGGAGGCAGGTACAGCACCGCGTAATGAAGAGACTCCACCAGTCGGAGACGGAGACCGCCAACAGTGCGTAATGAAACTACGTTTACCTTAACTCCTGTCTTTTTAATTACTTACTGAACACAATCCGGGTGTCGTCTCCAAACTGTACTCTTAATTAACCCTTTAACTGTCTCTTCTTGAGAATGTTGAAATAATATTTCACCTTAAATTCCTATTGCTAACAACTCAGAAAATAACGGCCAATAGTATTTGTCTTACAACAATGTTTACTGTGGAAATGAAAGAGCTCTACCAGGCGTTTGAGAAGTCGAAAGAGGGTCTTATCAGCAATGCAATATTAAAATGTCAATTTGCATAGCATTTTTACTCATCTCAAGAATATTACATGCAATTACATTACCCATGACTCTTCGCTGAGCATTTACGGCTCATCAGAGTAAAGAATAAGGTTGTTGCGCTGCTAACAACCTGCAGTCTGTATCTTACTCAATACAAATACATTGGTTTCCTACCCTGGTCCTGAAGAGGTATAGGGAGTGCAGGCTTTAGTTCCAGCCATGCACTGAAGACACCTGATTCAACCAGTCCTCAAGAAAACAATGAGCTGAATCAAGAGGGTTAGTGTCAGGCTGTAACAAAAACATGCACAGCCCTGTAGCTCTTCAGAACCACCGTGTAGCTCTTCAGAACCACCGTGTAGCTCTTCAGAACCACCGTGTAGCTCTTCAGAACCACCGTATTTGACCCCCCCCCCCCCCCCCCCCAGAAAAAAAAAGTCACATGCGCCAAACAAAATAGGTGTAGACTTTACCGTGAAATACTTACCTTTCCCAACAATGCAGAGTTAAAAAGTATAAAAACATTATTAGGAAGGTGTTTTTAATGTTTTGTACACTCAATGTATATCAATGCTTCAACTGGTTTCCTGCCTCTGAGTCATGTGTAAGTCTGTTGTAGGTCTGTTGTAAGATCTGTGCTCAGTAGGTCACATGACATGAGTTAGTCGGTCCAGCTGAAGCCAGAGCATTATTCTGCCTTACTGCAGACCCAATCCACATCAAGGGAAGTACACTAAGAAAGAAGGTTAGACAACAGCAAAAACAAGTCTCTTTCTCTCATTTTCTCTCTTTCCCCCTCTTTCTATATTTCTCTCTCCCCCTCCCTCTCCCCTCCTCTCTCTCTCTCTCTCTCTCTCTCTCTCTTCTCTCCCTCCCCCCTCTCTCTCTCTCTCTCTCTCTCCCCCTCCACCTCTAACTCTCTCTGTATTGTAATAATATAATATAATAATAATAATAATATGCCATTTAGCAGACACTTTTATCCAAAGCGACTTACAGTCATGCGTGCATACATTTTTGTGTATGGGTGGACCCGGGGATCGAACCCACTACCCTGGCGTTACAAGCGCCGTGCTCTACCAGCTGTCTACCCTACTTGCATCTACTGATGTTTCTTTAACCCATTCTACTTCCGTCTCTCCTCTAGAATTGCTGCTCTGGCCCCGTGGTACCTGGCCCCCTCTCTAACCCAACAGCAGGAGGAGGAGGAGGGGGGTAGCGATGACGGATATACAGCTCAACTCCATAGAGGACTCCACCAACAGACCAGTAGATCCGTCACATGATGTCCAGACTTCAGTTCTGTAGAGCTACACTATCAGCTGACACTCTCCCTCCCCCTGTTCCTGAGTCCCTCTCTCCCTCCCCCTGTTCCTGAGTCCCTCTCTCCCTCCCCCTGTTCCTGAGTCCCTCTCTCCCTCCCCCTGTTCCTGTGTCCCTCTCTCCCTCCCCCTGTTCCTGTGTCCCTCTCTCCCTCCCCCTGTTCCTGTGTCCCCCTCCCTCCCCCTGTTCCTGTGTCCCTCTCCCCCTCCCCCTGTTCCTGTGTCCCCCTCTCCCTCCCCCTGTTCCTGTGTCCCTCTCTCCCTCCCCCTGTTCCTGTGTCCCCTCTCCCCCCTCCCCCCTTGTTCCTGTGTCCCCCTCTCCCTCCCCCTGTTCCGTGTCCCCTCTCTCCCTCCCCCTGTTCCTGTGTCCCTCTCTCCTCCCCCTGTTCCTGTGTCCCCTCTCCTCCCCCCCTGTTCCTGTGTCCCTCTCTCCCCTCCCTCCCCTGTTCCTGTGTCCCTCTCTCCCCCCCCTGTTCCTGTGTCCCTCTCCCTCCCCCTGTTCCTGTGTCCCTCTCTCCTGTCCCTCCCCTGTTCCTGTGTCCCTCTCTCCCTCCCTGTCCTGTCCCTCCCCCCCCCTGTTCCTGTCCCCTCTCCTCCCCCTTCTGTCCCTCTCCCCCCCCTGTTCCTGTGTCCCCCTCTCCTCCCCTCCCCCCCCTGTTCCTGTTCCCTCTCTCTCCCCCTCCTCCCCCTGTTCCTGTGTCCCTCTCTCATCCCGTCCTCCCTCTCCCCCTGTTCCTGAGCTCCCTCCTCTCCTCTCCCCCTGTTCCTGTTCCCTCTCTCCCCCCCCCTGTTCCTGAGTCCCTCTCTCCACCCCCCTGTTCCTGAGTCCCTCTCTCCTCCCTCCTGTCCCTCCTTCCCTCCCCTTTCCTCCCTCCCTCTGTCCCCTCTCCCCTCTCCCCTCCCCCTGTCCTGTCCTTCTCCCCCTCCCCCTGTTCCTGTGTCTGTCTTTAGATATGTCTCAAATGGAACCCTATTCCCTACATAGGCCAATACGGTTATGGTCAAAATTAGTGCACTATATAGGGAATAGGGTTCCCTTTGGAACATAGCCTTACTGTAACACCCACCCACCATCCCAGCCTACGGGTGGGCGATATACGGCTGAGTAAATGCAGCTCACTGTGAAAAAAAATAAAAAAGACTTCAGGCTACACTTGAACGTCTATAACCAGATAGAATGTACGTAGAAATTACAATAAATCTGTTCGGCACGGCATTGTATCCTGATGTGGCCCTCGAGCCGAAATGATTGATGACCCCTGACCTACATACCCATCAGCCCTCTACTGTTACTACTGTAATCAGCCCTGTCCTACATACCATCAGCCCTCTACTGTTACTACTGTAATCAGCCCTGTCCTACATACCATCAGCCCTCTACTGTTACTACTGTAATCAGCCCTGTCCTACATACCATCAGCCCTCTACTGTTACTACTGTAATAAGCCCTGTCCTACATACCATCAGCCCTCTACTCTTACTACTGTAATCAGCCCTGTCCTACATACCATCAGCCCTCTACTGTTACTACTGTAATCAGCCCTGTCCTACATACCATCAGCCCTCTACTGTTACTACTGTAATCAGCCCTGTCCTACATACCATCAGCCCTCTACTGTTACTACTGTAATCAACCCTGTCCTACATACCATCAGCCCTCTACTGTTACTACTGTAATCAGCCCTGTCCTACATACCATCAGCCCTCTATTGTTACTACTGTAATCAGCCCTGACCTACATACCATCAGCCCTCTACTGTTACTACTGTAATCCAGCCCTGTCCTACTACCATCAGCCCTCTATTGTTACTACTGTAATCAGCCCTGACCTACATACCATCAGCCCTCTATTGTTACTACTGTAATCAGCCCTGTCCTACATACCATCAGCCCTCTACTGTTACTACTGTAATCAGCCCTGTCCTACATACCATCAGCCCTCTACTGTTACTACTGTAAATCAGCCCTGTCCTACATACCATCAGCCCTCTACTGTTACTACTGTAATCAGCCCTGTCCTACATACCATCAGCCCTCTATTGTTACTACTGTAATCAGCCCTGACCTACATACCATCAGCCCTCTATTGTTACTACTGTAATCAGCCCTGACCTACATACCATCAGCCCTCTACTGTTACTACTGTAATCAGCCCTGACCTACATACCATCAGCCCTCTATTGTTACTACTGTAATCAGCCCTGTCCTACATACCATCAGCCCTCTACTGTTACTACTGTAATCAGCCCTGTCCTACATACCATCAGCCCTCTACTGTTACTACTGTAATCAGCCCTGTCCTACATACCATCAGCCCTCTACTGTTACTACTGTAATCAGCCCTGTCCTACATACCATCAGCCCTCTATTGTTACTACTGTAATCAGCCCTGACCTACATACCATCAGCCCTCTACTGTTACTACTGTAATCAGCCCCTGACCTAACATACCATCAGCCCTCTATTGTTACTACTGTAATCAGCCCCTGACCTACATACCATCAGCCCTCTACTGTTACTACTGTAATCAGCCCTGTCCTACATACCATCAGCCCTCTACTGTTACTACTGTAATCAGCCCTGACCTACATACCATCAGCCCTCTATTGTTACTACTGTAATCAGCTCTGACCTACATACCCATCAACCCAAATGTATGGGTGACCCCCTTTGTATTGGGCTAGAGAGTGCTATAGTGTGAGTGTGAGTGTGTGAGTGTGTGTGTGTGTGAGTGTGTATAAGCGAGAGAGTGTGTGAGACAGTCTGTGTGTGTGTGTGTGTGTGTGTGTGAGAGAGAGAGAGTGTGTATATATGTATTTGAGAGGAGTGAGGGAGACAGTGAGAGGAGTGAGGGAGACAGTGAGAGGAGTGAGGGAGACAGTGAGAGGAGTGAGGGAGACAGTGAGAGGAGTGAGAGAGACAGTGAGGGAGACAGTGAGGGAGACAGTGTGCATCTGATTAATAAAAGTTTAGACTTTTAGGATTGTTGTTCGATTCAATTTATTGTCATTAAGTCATTCAAATTAGGTTTTCATGTAACGACAAACCGGGCTAACTTGATCATTCTATAACAGAATAGATAAATACATTGTTTTGAAACTCTGCAATAAAACCATTGACATGTGATGTTGTGATGATGAACTACCACCTGGCCTTCTGGTTATCATTGTTGTTGTTTGACGTGTACACAATAAAATCATCTTAAGGCATGGCTGTCCTATTTCTACAGGGGGTGTGTGTCTGTGTGTGTGTGTTCCATGCTAGTAGGATCTCGTTTTGTGTGTGAGTGAGCTCCCAGATTTGCCTCCGCTGGGTTGGGTTGAATCACGAGGCGAGGTGTGGTGTGTGTGTGTGGTGTGTGTGTGTGTTTGGGGCTCAGGGAGGAAAGGCCTAGTCATGGGGCTGTGTGTGTGTGTGTGTGTGTGTGTGTGTGTGTGTGTGTGTGTGTGTGTGTGTGTGTGTGTGTGTGTGTGTGTGTGTGTGTGTGTGTGTGTGTGTGTGTGTGTGTGTGTGAGTGCAGTAGACTATATGAGAGAGAAGAGGCCAATGGGCCGCCCCTAGGGGTGATCAGTTGGACTGAGACAGAGGAACAGCATGCACTATAACAGGTAGGAGACAGCAACAGGTAGGAAACAGCAACAGGTAGGAAACAGCAACAGGTAGGAAACAGCAACAGGAAGGAACAGCAACAGGAAGGAAACAGCAACAGGAAGGAGACAGCAACAGGTAGGAGACAGCAACAGGTAGGAAACAGCAACAGGAAGGAGACAGCAACAGGAAGGAAACAGCAACAGGTAGGAAACAGCAACAGGAAGGAGACAGCAACAGGAAGGAAACAGCAACAGGAAGGACGACAGCAACAGGTAGAAACAGCAACAGGTAGGAAACAGCAACAGGAAGGAAACAGCAACAGGAAGGAGACAGCAACAGGTAGGAAACAGCAACAGGAAGGAAACAGCAACAGGAGGAGACAGCAAACAGGTAGGAAACAGCAACAGGTAGGAAACAGCAACAGGAAGGAGACAGCAACAGGAAGGAACAACAGCAACAGGGGAACAGCAACAGGAAGGAGACAGCAACAGGAAGGAAACAGCAACAGGAAGGAGACAGCAACAGGTAGGAAACAGCAACAGGTAGGAAACAGCAACAGGTAGGAAACAGCAACAGGTAGGAAACAGCAACAGGAAGGAGACAGCAACAAGTTACTTCATTAATTTATTGATTTATTATCATTGATTTAGTATTATTTATATATTTGTTTGTATATTTGTTTCTAATTTATATTTAATCACAGGTAGAATCCAGCAACAGGTTTAATAAGTAATTATCATTTAATTACTATTATATATTCATATTTATTTATTGGTCTATATACATTTATATTGGTTATTTATTGCTTCATTATCTGGTATTACATGGGAGAACAACAAGTCACTGGTTTTATTTATAGCAGGCTACAAATATTGTGGATTGAGTGGATTGAGTTTATGGGTGAAGTGCTTTGGAGATGCTCCTTTGTCAGAGCACTGGACATTATTTTCATTCTGTGAAACATTATTGAGAGAACGTTAACTGGGAATCTTATAAGCGGTGGGATAAACAGTTGCACAACAAAAGCTCACATCCGACTTGCCGTTCTTAGTCGGTGGGGAGAGATGTGTCTGTCGCACCACCACCCACAGAATCAAGAAAGAGCTATCACTCTGTCAGTCCTTTCTGTTATCTTGTTGCTTTTTTTACGTGATCAAGGAGGGATTTTATGCGATTGGGTTTTCGGTGCCTGTGCAAACAGGGTCCTTGCAAATCCTAGAACACTTTTGATATTTGTTTTAGAAAGTAGAACTTGTTTGTTTTCTTTGGCTTGATAAGTTATTCGGAGGGAAAGGGAATTATTGGGAATCATGAAGGGAATTATAACAAAGAGAATAGTTAATTTCAGAGATAACAGAGATTTTGCTGCAGCTGGCAGCAACATTAGAAAACATCTCCAATCCTTTGTGTGATCTGATGAGTGTGGAGTCTAGGCTGAGCTGGGCTTGTGTCTCTGAAATTAACCATTCTCTTTGTTGAGTGTGGAGTCTAGGCTGAGCTGGGTTGGGCTTGGCACTCAAAAATGGACCAGCCTTTGTTTCAACTCTCTAACTGTCTGTATCCCTCTGTGCTCTTTCTCTGTCTCTCTCACTTTCTCTCTCTCTCTCTGCTCTTCTCTCTCTAAGGGGCTTTATTGGAATTGAAAACATATGTTTACATTGCCAAAACAAGTCAAATATACAGTCACAAATTAACAGTTAACATTACACACACAAATGAATAAAGACTACCTTTTTTTTTCCTTCTCAAAATGAATAAAGACTCTCTACTTTCTCTCCACTCCATCTCCAGTATGTGTTGGCTGGGTCTCCTGGTGGTGGTGGTGACCTTGACCCCCCGGACCCTGGCACAGTTTCCCAGAGAATGTGTCACCCCAGAGGGGCTACGGAGTGGCCAGTGCTGCCCCTCTCCCACTGGAGCCCTGGATGACCAGTGTGGTTCTGCCACAGGGAGGGGTCAGTGTGTGTCTATAGCTGCCGACAGCCATCGCCACGGCCCCCAGTACCCACATGATGGCCGGGACGACCGGGAGCGCTGGCCGTTAAGGTTCTTTAACCGGACGTGCCGGTGTAACGGGAACTTCGCGGGGTATAACTGTGCCGGTGCCGACACGGACTCACCGGACCTAACTGTGATCAGAGGATATCCGTGGGTAAGAGAAAGGCAGCTTTATTTATCCTGCACCTATTGGATTTACTCTCTTTCCTGCTTCCTTTCAAATATATGCATCCATGTATTTCTTTATCAGGGACCATCTACAGTTTCTAACATATAGTATTTGATGCATCCCTCTCTTTCCCTCCTTTTCTCCCTTCCCCCTCTCACTCTCCCTCCCTCCCTCCCTCCCTCCCCCCTCCCTCCCTCCCTCCCTCCCTCCCTCCCTCTCTTCTCCCTCCCTCCCTCCTCCCTCCCTCCCTCCCTCCCTCCCTCCTCCTCTCCTTCCCTCCCTCCATCCTTAAAATTCCTCCCCCCCCTTGTGAACTCTCTGGACCAGGCCAAGAGGACCGTCCACCCTGACCTGGTCATCTGCACACGACGGTAACCAGTCTGACAGTGCTGTGATCCTGTCTCAATGATCGGAGATTGATTGCTTCAGCCCGAGTTAGTCTGCTTGGGTTGGAACCAAATAACTGATACTTCATTACCACTCATCTATTTAAATCTAATCTTATTCGTCACATGCTTCGTAAACCATCAGTTGTAGTTGAAGTGCTTCCCCAACAATTCAGAGAGAAAGAAGATCGAGAAATAATAGAATAAGTAATAAAACAAATTTACACAATTGTCTGGAGGCTAGAGGTTAAATAATTTGGAGTTTAGAGATTAGAGATTTGGAGCCTAGAGATTAGAGATTGGAGGATAGAATAGATAATTGGAAGACTAGAGGTTAGAGATTTGGAGACTAGAGGTTAGAGCTTTGGAGGCTAGAGGTTAGAGAATTGGAGTTTGGAGGATTGGAGGATTGGAGGCTAGAGTTTAGAGAATTGGAGTTTGGAGGATTGGAGGATTGAGGCTAGAGTTTAGAGAATTGGAGTTTGGAGGATTGGAGGCTAGAGATTAGAGATTTGGAGGCTAGAGGTTAGAGAATTGGAGGCTAGAGTTCAGAGAATTGGAGTTTGGAGAATTGGAGTTTGGAGAATTGGAGGCTTGAGGTTAGATAATTGGATTGGAGCTTGGTTGTGCATTAAACTCCGCTGTGCCACATTATCATTGAGAAAACCTTATCTCTCTCCAGTTACCAGGAGGTGTATGGTCCGGATGGTAACACCCCTCAGTTTGAGAACATCACCATCTATAACTACTTTGTCTCTCTCTCTCTCCAGTTACCAGGAGGTGTATGGTCCGGATGGTAACACCCCTCAGTTTGAGAACATCACCATCTATAACTACTTTGTGTGGACACACTACTACTCTGTCAGCAAAACCTACATGGGGGCGGGGCAGGCTGGCTTTGGGGGCGTGGACTTTTCTCATGAGGGACCGGGATTTGTCACCTGGCACAGGTTCCACCTGCTGCAGCTGGAGAGAGATATGCAGGTGAGTGAGAGAGGAGGTATGGAGGGCATGTGTGTGTGTTGGGGTGTGATGGGAGAGAGAGAGAGAGAGAGAGAGGAAGAGAGAGAGAGAGGATGAGATGAGAGACGAGATGAGAGAGAGAGAGAGAGAGAGAGGAGAGGAGAGAGCAGAGAGACAGAGAGACAGAGAGGACAGAGACAAGAGACAAGACATAGAGAGGAGAGAGAGAGAGAGACGAGATGGAGATGTAGAGAGAGAGAGAGGAGAGAGAGAGTGTGTATGTGTGTGTTTGTGTGTGTATTCAAGTATCCAGCCAAGCAGGGGTTATAAACTGTAAAATTGATCCTTACCATAGATGTCTTCTCTATCCATCTCTCCATCTCTCCATCCCTCTCCATCTCTCCATCCTCTCCATCCTCTCCATCCCTCTCCATCTCTCCATCCCTCCATCCCTCCATCCTCTCCATCTCTCCATCCTCTCCAGGACATGTTAGGTGACGCCACCTTTGCCCTCCCCTACTGGAACTTTGCCATTGGCGGCAGTGAGTGTGACGTGTGTACTGACGACCTCCTGGGAGCCAGGTCTGCCTTCGATATGAACAGCCTCAGCCCCAACTCTGTCTTCTCCCAGTGGAGGGTGATCTGTGAGAGTGTAGAGGACTACGACACTCTGGGAACCATCTGTAACAGTGAGCATGATATGTCCTAACACCTTGTAGACACTACGACACTCTGGGAACCATCTGTAACCGTGAGCATGATATGTCCTAACACCTTGTAAACACTACAACACTCTGGGAACCATCTGTAACAGTGAGCATGATATGTCCTAACACCTTGTAGACACTACGACACTCTGGGAACCATCTGTAACAGTGAGCATGATATGTCCTAACACCTTGTAGACACTACGACACTCTGGGAACCATCTGTAACCGTGAGCATGATATGTCTTAACACCTTGTAAACACTACGACACTCTGGGAACCATCTGTAACAGTGAGCATGATATGTCCTAACACCTTGTAGACACTACGACACTCTGGGAACCATCTGTAACCGTGAGCATGATATGTCTTAACACCTTGTAAACACTACGACACTCTGGGAACCATCTGTAACCGTGAGCATGATATGTCCTAACACCTTGTAAACACTACGACACTCTGGGAACCATCTGTAACAGTGAGCATGATATGTCTTAACACCTTGTAAAACACTACTACACTCTGGGAACCATCTGTAACAGTGAGCATGATATGTCCTAACACCTTGTAAACACTACGACACTCTGGGAACCATCTGTAACAGTGAGCATGATATGTCCTAACACCTTGTAAACACTACAACACTCTGGGAACCATCTGTAACAGTGAGCATGATATGTCCTAACACCTTGTAAACACTACGACACTCTGGGAACCATCTGTAACAGTGAGCATGATATGTCCTAACACCTTGTAAACCACTACGGACACTCTGGAACCCATCTGTAACAGTGAGCATGATATGTCCTAACACCTTGTAGACACTACGACAACTCTGGGAACCATCTGTAACCGTGAGCATGATATGTCCTAACACACTTGTAAACACTACGACACTTGGGAACCATCTGTAACAGGGAGCATGATATGTCCCTAAAACCTTGTAAAACACTACGACACTCTGGGAACCATCTGTAACAGTGAGCATGATATGTCCTAACACCTTGTAAACACTACAACACTCTGGGAACCATCTGTGACAGTGATGACAACCAGAGTATTATTACTAACCCTGTGCTATGGAGACCGAGCATGCTTTTTTAGTCCAGTACTAGGGTTGATCTGGGGCAGAGAAACGGACAGATACTAACCCAAGACTGATCTGGGGCAGAGAAAGTGGACAGTAACTAACCCAAGACTGATCTGGGGCAGGGAAACTGACAGTAACTAACCCAAGACTGATCTGGGGCAGGGAAAGTGACAGTAACTAACCCAAGACTGATCTGGGGCAGGGAAAGTGACAGTAACTAACCCAAGACTGATCTGGGGCAGGGAAAGTGACAGTAACTAACCCAAGACTGATCTGGGGCAGGGAAAGTGACAGTAACTAAACCCACGACGGATTCTTGGGGCAGGGAAGTGACAGGTAACTAACCCAAGGACTGATCTTGTCAGGGAAATTGACGTAACCTGTAACCCAAGACTGTGCCACTCTGGATAGTGGGAACCATCTGTAACAGTGAATAAGGAATCAAAATTTAATTTTCTTTCACAGACTCCAATTGGGAGATTAGTCTGGTTGGTAGGGCATAATTTTGGGCCAGATTAAAACCACTCATTTCCCCTCCTCTTTTGCCCTCAGAAAATGTCCCCCAATTTCCTAGGGATTAAAAATTTGCAAAATTGGGGAAATTTGGGGATCAAAAATTGTGACCTGACAGAACAGGGAGAGGTTTGGGGGGGTGTTACCACAAAACATGAAAGGAGGGGGGGTGTGTGACCTGAAAAAACCCTATGAGAGGGGGGTGAAGGTTTGTAAACCTGACGACATTTTAGGGGATTGAGGGGGGGTTTTACCTGACAAAACCATGGGGGGGGGTGAGGGTGTATGACCTGACAGAGGACTTTTTGTTGTTTTTTTTTAAACCTTTATTTAACCGGGAAAGCCATTTGAAACCCCTTCTCATTTAAAACCCTCGCCCCGGGCCCAAAGACAACAGGCCCCTTTTCCGATTTAAAACATTGAACCTATCTGAAAAGTAGTTGGTGACCAGGCGGGGGCATTCTTTTGAAAACCCAAGCAAATTTTAGTCGGGCCAATAAAACCGGGGGTTTTGCCCCAAGTCAAAACCCCTTTGGGCCAGGTGGGATAAGACGGCTGAAAACCGTACTGCCCTTTATCGATCGGGTTTTAAAATTCGTTGAGGAGTGAGGGGGGTGGCCTGACAGAACTGGAGGATTTGGGGTTTTTGGTTACTGACAGAAATGAGAGGAGTGGGGGTGTTTTAACCTGACAAAAACATGAGAGAATGAGGGTGTTTTCCTGACAGAACTAAAAGGATTAAAGGGTTTGTGTCCCTTTACAGCCCCCTTAAAAGGGAGTGAGGGTGTGTGCCCTTTACAAAACATTGAGGGATAAAGGTGTGTTCTGAGGGCAAGGAGAGGTTTAAAAGGGTGGGTTACCTTACGAACAAAAGAGGAGTAGGGTGTGTGCCGGGAACAGAACTTTAGGGAGGGGAGGGTGGGGTGACCTGCCCAACAAAAGGGGATGAGGGTGTGTACCTGACAAACATAAAAGGAGGGGAGGGTGTTTGCCCCTGACAAAACTTAGAGGGGGAGGGTGTTTTGCCCTAAAACCAGAACAGAGAGGGGGAGGGTGTGTGCCCTGCCCGAACAAAAAAGGGGTGGGGGTGGGGTCCCCTAAAGAACATGAGGGAGTGAGGGGGGTGTGAACCTAAACAGAACATAGGGGGTTAAAGGTTTGTTGCCCTTTACAAACTTTAAGGAGTGAGGGTTTTGTCCCCCTGCAAACATTTTAGAGGATGAGGGGTTTTTGACCTACAACATATGAGAGGAGTGAAGGGGGTGTACCCTACAGAACATATGGAGGAGGGGAAGGTGTGTGAATTTTTGACAAACATAAGGAGTGAGGGTGTTGACCTGACAAACAATAGGATTGGGGGGTGGTGTAAAACCTGACGAACAAAAGAGGAGTGAGGGTTTTGGTGCCTGACAGAACATGAAAGGAGTGGGGGTGTGTGCCCTTTCCCAAAACCTGAAGGAGGGGGGGGTTTGTTGACCTGCCAGAAATGAAAAGGATTTGAGTTGTGGCCCTGACAAAACCCCTTAGAGGAGGGGAAGGTTTTGTGGACCTAAAAAACCATGAGGGGAGTGGGGTGTGTGCCTAACAAACTTAGAGGAGTGAGGGTGTCCCCTGACAAAACCCTGAGGGGGAGTGGGGTGGGGGCCTGACAAAACCCCAGAGAGGTTTGGAGGGTGTGTGCCCCTCAAAAACATGAAGGAGTGGGGTGTTTTGACCTGCCCCAAAACCCTGAGAGGAGGGGAGGGTTTGGTGTGCCTGACAGAACATAAAGAGGAGGGGGGGGTTTGGGGGGGACCTAAAGAACTTAGAGGATTTAAGGGGGGTTTGACCGGGACAGAACAGGAAGGAGTGGGGGTGGGGGACCTAAACAAACAAAAGGATGAGGGGGGGGGTGACCTGACAGAACATGAGAGGAGTGAGGGTGTGTGACCTGACAGAACATATGAGAGGAGTGAAGGTGTGTGCCCCTGACAGAACTTTGAGAGGATGGGGTGTGGATTTAAAACAGAAAAATAAGGGGAGTGAGGGTGTTGACCTGACAAAAAATAGGGAGTGGGGTGTTTTCCCTGCCCAAAACATGAGGGGATTAGGGTGGGGTGCCCCCTGACAAACATGAGGGATTTGGGGGGGTGTGTGACCTGACAGAACAAAAGGAGTGGGGGTAGGGTGCCCTGACAAAACTTTAGGGGATGAGGGTGTTTGACCTGACAGAACTGGGGGATAGGGGTGTTTTCCCCTGACAAACATAAAGAGGATTTGGGGGGGTTGGGAAAACCTGACAGAACATGAAAAGGGTTGGGTGTGTGACCTGACGAACTGAAGGATGGGGGTTTTTAGGGAACCTGACAGAACATAAGGGGGTGAGGGTGTGTCCTGACAGAACATAAAAATGAGGGGAGTTTGTTTTACCTGACAGAACATAGGGGAGGGGGGTTGGGGGACCTGACAGAAAAATTAGGAGTAAATTTGGTGTGACCTGCCCAAACATTATAGGAGTAAAGGGGTGTTTTACCGGCAAAAAATTAAGGGGGTTGAGGGTGTTAAACCTGACAGAACATGAGGGGGTGGGGGGGTTTTGACCTAAACAAAACTTTAGAGGAGTGAGGGTGTTTTACCTGACAGAACAAGGAGTGGGGGTGTTGACCTGCCAAAACATATGAAGGATGAAGGTGGGGTCCACAAACAGATAGGAGTGGGGGTTTTTGACCTGCAAAAAATTTGAGGAGTGAGGGTGTGTGCCTACAAACATGAAGGATTGAGGGTTTTGGAGGGGCCCCAAAAACATGAGGGGAAAGTGAGGGTTTTTGGGACCTAAACATGAAATGGGGGAGTGGGGGTGTTTTAACCTGCCCGAACTGAGAGGAGTTAGGGGTGTGCCCCTAACGAACATGAGAGGAGTGAGGGTGTGTGACCTACAAACGAGAGGATTTAGGGGGGTTTTTGGACCTGACAGAACATGGGGATTAGGTGTGGGGACCTACAAAAACATGAGAGGAGGGGAGGGTGTGTCCCCCCCTCAAAAACATAAAGGGGATGAGGGTGTGTGAAACCGACAGAACATGAGGGGGGTTGAGGGGTGTGCCCTTAAACAAAACCCTGAAGGAGTGGGGTTTGACCTGACAAAAACATGAAGGAGTGAGGTGTTTGCCCTTTACGAACTTAAGGGGAAAGTAAAGGGTGTGTGACCTGACAAAAACATGAGAGGATTGGGGTGGTGCCCTGCCCGAACATAAAGAGGGGAGGGGGGTTGTGACCTGACAGAACATGAGAGGAGTGAGGGTGTGTGACCTGACAGAACATGAGAGGAGTGAGGGTGTGTGACCTGACAGAACATGAGAGGAGTGAGGGTGTGTGACCTGACAGAACATGAGAGGAGTGAGGGTGTGTGACCTGACAGAACATGAGAGGAGTGAGGGTGTTGACCTGACAAACTGAGAGGAGTGAGGGTGTTGCCCCTGAAAAGAACATGGAGAAGGAGGGTGGGGGTGACCTACGAAACAAAAGGGATGGGGGTGTGTGACCTGACAAAAACATGAGAGGATTGAGGGGGGTGTGCCCTTTACAAAAACCAATGAGGGGAGTAAGGGGGTGTGACCTTAAAAAATGAGGGGGGGCGGGGGTGGTTGGACCTGCCCAAAAACATGAGGGGAGGGGAGGGTTTTTTTCCCTGACAAACTTTAAGGAGTGGGGTGTGGGGAACCTTACGGGAAAAATGAGAGGTTTGAGGTGTGTGACCTGACAGAAATGAGAGGATTAGGGTGTTTGACCGGGACAGAACTGAAGGATGAGGGTGTGGCCCCTGAAAAGAACATGAGGGAGTGAGGGTGTGTGCCCCTGAAAACCCATAGGGGAGGAGGGTGTGTCCCTCCGGGACTAAAGAGGGGGTGAGGGGTGTGCCCTTAAACAGAAATGAGAGGAGTGAGGGTGGGGTGCCGACAGAACTTTAGAGGGGAGGGGGTTTGGTGGGGACCTGAAAAAAACTTTAGAGGATTGGGGGGTGTGTGACCTGACAGAACATGAGGGGGAGTGGGGTTTGGTGTGACCTGACAGAACTTTGAGGAGTGAGGGTGTTGCCCTGACAGAACATAGGGGATTTGGGGTGTTGACCTGACAGAAAAATGAGAAGGGGGGGGTTTTTTGACCTGCCCAAACATGAGAGTTTTTGGGGGTTGTGTGACCTACGGAACATAGAGGATGGGGGTTTTGGGGCCCCTGACAGAACATGAGAGGATTGAGGGGGGGTTACCTGACAAAAATATAGAGGAGTAAAGGGTTTTGGGTGCCCTGACAGAACATAAAGGGGTTTGAGGGGTGTGGGGGACCTGACAGAACATGAGGGGAAGTGGGGTTGTGCCCCTGACAGAACATGAGAGGATTGAGGGGTGGGGGCCCTGACAGAAAAAATTAGAGGAGTGAGGGTGTGTGACCTGACAGAACATGAGAGGAGTGAGGGTGTGTGACCTGGAACAAAACATGAGGAGTGAGGGGTGTGTGCCCTACAGAACTTTAGAGGATTGGGGTTTGTGCCCTTTACAAAACAATTTAGGGATTGGGGGGGTGTGACCTGACAGGACTAAAGGGAGTGGGGTGGGGTGACCTGACAGAACAGAGGGGATGGGGGGGTGTGTAAACCGACAAACCCTGAGGGGAGGGGAAGGGGTTGACCTGCCCAAACATGAGAGGATTGAGGGTTTGTACCTGACAAAACAGGGAGAGGAGTGGGGGGTTTTGTAAACCTTTACAAAACCCCTAAGGGGAGTGAGGGGGGTTGTGACCTGCCCGAACATAAAAGGGAAAGTGAGGGGGGTATGACCTGACAAACTGAGAGGAGTGATTTTTGGTGCCCTTTAAAAACCCATGAGGGAGGGGGGGGTTTTGGGGTGCCTGCCAAAACCCTTAGAGGATTGAGGGGGGGTTGACCACAGAACTAGAGGAGTGAGGGTGTTGATTCAGTATTTTGCCCCAGGGGTCTGTCTACTAGTTTAACCTTTTTAACCCAGTTAGGGGGAACAACACCTTATAAGGGGGGATGGTTTACTTATTATGGTCATGTGATTTCCTAATATGGGCATTATTGGGTTTAGTAGGAAGAAGTCTGCCAGTCTATTGGTTCTCTTTGATCAAGAGGAATTACACTCAAATAGACAGATAGACAGCACACAGGATAATGCCAGTAATCTCCTCGGTGGTGTGTGTGAGAGAGAGAGGAAGAGAGAGAGAAGGAGAAGAGAGGAGAGAGAGAAGGAGAAGAGAGAAGAGAGAAAGAGAGGAGAGAGAGAGAGTAGAGAGACAGAGAAACAGAGAGATGACAGAGAGATACAGAGAGATGTTCCTGACCTGTGACCACATGACCTAACCAGGGGGAAAACTCTGAAAACGTCTTTGTAATCCTTGATTTGATTACCTCCATTCCTTGCCTCCCTCTCAAAGCTCATTGGAGGAAAGGATCCAATCAAGGTCCTTCCCCTTCGAGCCCCTCCTCCAGTGAGCTTTGAGAGGGAGGTGAGGACTGATGAAGGAAAGGGTTTAACGGCTAGCTAAAGCTACGTTTTCAGACAGAGCCAAGGAGTTTGGCTTTGCCCAAGGAAAAACACCCTATTCCATTTATAGTGCACTACTTTAGACCAGAGCCCATTTATAGTGCACTACTTTAGACCAGAGCCCCTTTATAGTGCACTACTTTAGACCAGAGCCCCTTTATAGTACACTACTTTAGACCAGAGCCCCTTTATAGTGCACTACTTTAGACCAGAGCCCCTTTATAGTGCACTACTTTAGACCAGAGCCCCTTTATAGTGCACTACTTTAGACCAGAGCCCCTTTATAGTGCACTACTTTAGACCAGAGCCCATTTATAGTGCACTACTTTAGACCAGAGCCCCTTTATAGTGCACTACTTTTGTCAACACTATGTAGGGAATAGGGTGCCACAGAGACTAGTCCAATACTTTTTTGACATGTGAACCCTCTGTGCCCTATAGATTCAGAGACGTGTGACCCCTAAACCCTAACCTATGACCCCTATAGATTCAGAGACCTGTGACCCCTAACCCCTAACCTATGACCCCTATAGATTCAGAGACCTGTGACCCCTAACCCCTAACCTATGACCCCTATAGATTCAGAGACCTGTGACCCCTAACCCCTAACCTATGACCCCTATAGATTCAGAGACCTGTGACCCCTAACCCCTAACCTATGACCCTATAGATTCAGAGACCTGTGACCCCTAACCCCTAACCTATGACCCTATAGATTCAGAGACCAGTCCCATCAGGAGGAACCCAGCAGGTAACGTGGCGCGTCCCATGGTGCAGAGGCTGCCTGAACCCCAGGATGTAGTGGACTGT